GCGACAAACGTTGCTGTGTTTTATGTGCAAGAGACATTATTCTGGAGGTCGATATCTCAAAATGCAATGAAAATTATTAATGTAAGCAAATTTGCTAGAATATGTATAATTTTATTGATCGACACTTAATAAATTTACTCACTTTTTTAATTTTCGCTATGTTTTGAGATAGGTGAGATTCGATTGATCACGATATGATTGGACACAGATTGTAATGATTGGTTCGACCTAGTAATTCACTAGATAATTGTTTTCATCGGTTGGTTGTGTCCAATCGTACCGTGGTCAATCGGGACGCTCCCTTTTGAGATACACAATAGCTGCGTTCAGCAGAAAAAACTGATTTGCAACTGTTATAAAATTCGTGAATCTGATTGGAGTATGCTTTTAATTTTGGTTGAATCCAAGAGCATGTACCAATCAGATTCACGAATTTTACAACAGTTTCAAATTAGTAAATAATATACGTAACATAAACTATAGATTTTCAGTACTGGCAGTGAATTTCGGAACGCAGCCATAGTAGGGATGGGAAATCGAGAGGGCGGATCTCCTGGCGTATTTGGAAGCCGCCAGCTCAGAGATCCCACCTTTTCACAAAATGGATCATATAGACTTTATTCGGCAAATTGAAGATCGATGTCGAAATGCAGCTCTTAACCACCTAGAAGAGCAATTCTCATTCAAAGGCATCCGCTATAAGGACAGTAGTAATCAACTCGCTACCAAGCCATGGTTCAGTTCTCTAACAAATAAAGAAAGAGAAATTATATGCACAATTGCTATAATATGGTTTATAAGACTCATCACATTTGCTCCGGGACTCACCTGACTGACAAAAATATAGTCGATAATGACTCATGCAAATGGCTTTATACCAAGAAATTTAGAACACATACTCTTTCATTGCCCAACACGAAAAGAGAATCGGATTTATTAATTACCAAATTATTCCAGAGAGGGTACGCTGGTGAAGACATCTTTAAAGACGTCTTTAATTTACACAGCTTCAGTTACTTTTATGAAATACAACAGTTTTTGAAAAGCACTAAACAAGTTCTGTAATACCAGTTGGGATAAATAATCGGACTAATGGCGTTGGGGCAAAATTCTTAAAGAAACCTGGAGCCAAAGATTGAAGTTGAAGTTGAAGAATCCCTATTATGCGTCATCTTTCACATTTTAGCCAAGTCTGTTGATGGTTCAAAAGTTCACGTGAAAATGTCTTTCTTTGCAGGGAAAACACTAATATTCTCATAAACTGAAAATCCACGTGAAATTGTTTAGTTTCCTATGGTTGACGCTAGAGGGATAATATTTGTATTAACCGTTATATTTATATACTATGGCCGGTATTCATAGGCTGCGTTCCGAAATTCACTGCCAATATTGAAATTCTATAGTATACGTAACATGAACTATAGATTTTCAGTACTGACAGTGAATTTCGGAACGCAGCCATAGTCGAATCTTATTTCAAGATCGTCTTAAGTAATGTCTTAAGATGCGAATACGGCTCTGTGATTGGTTCATGACATTTTAAGACAGTACTTAAGTTGATCTTAAATATAAGATCTGACTATGAATACCGCCCTATATATTCTAGTAATTATATTATAGATATAAATTATAATTTTATATTATTTTTTTAATATTTTATATATCATATTTTATGTTTTGCCCTCATAGATATATTACTACATGGTAAGAAGATCATGTCATATTTCACGTAAACCTTTTTAAGTGAAATTGTGAAAATGTGAAAAGTACACACAAGATTCATGATCAGCCTTCTAGTATGAAGTCTTGCAGCATTTAAAAATGGCCGCAGCTTCTTCGGAATATCGATAGATCGGCTGTCAACAAAGCGCGACCGATATATGTCATTTGTCACTATTATCGTAGCGTACACGTCAATGGCCTGACTTATTTATAGTATTCTACTCGTTCGATCGCCCGCGCGGCCTGCCAAGTATTTTGACGCAAGAGACCGACGTGAATGCGATTTCGCACTTTTGAGATACGCTGCATAGGAGATCGCATTTCGCATTCAATTGCGCTCGCTGTTCTCTCCGTGGTTAAAAACTACGCGAAACCGTTTACCCGTCGCGATAGCACCTTGCATCGTTGCTGTCCAGGTAAACAAGACACGCGTATCGATAGTTTAACACGCTAATGAGCTAACATAACAATCATCGTGCTACGCGTGAGGTTAGTACGCGGTAACAGTGACATTAGTTCGAACGTGTGCAGTTTAACGTAACCGACGTGAAAGAGCGCCCGCGAAGAAATCGGCGATGTCGCCTGGCATTGACGACGGCCCTCGTAACACGGGCACTTTGCCGAAAAGTAATCGGAGAAACGATCGAAACCGAGAACGATCCGCTGCTAATCAACAGATCGCAAACCGTTCGGCTTATCACGGTCATCCACAGCATTTTAACAATCTGGTAAATCCACCAGAGATATTTTTTTCCTCTCTCACTTTCTCTAGCCTTTTTTCTTTCATTTTAATTAATAAATCACCAGAAATGTAAGGCTGCTGAAAGAAAATTTTAAATCTTGTAATTATTCAATATTTATAATGAAAGAGATATCATTTGATATCTTAAATATTATTAGAAGTCATTTAATAGAATTCTCTATATTTTTTTTCTAGTATTTATGAAAAGTATACTTTTATGCATAAATATTTATTTATAAGCATAATGATAAATATATTATTTATTTATAAGCATAATGATAAATTAATTGTGATATATAAAGGTATAAAACACAATAATTGTGGTTTAGTAGTTGAAAAGTATTTGGTAGCAGAGAGTAGTTGGAACCTACTGATGCTATATTAGCTGCTTTCAGCAGTGTCGTTTTCAGTCTATTAATAGGCTATAGAATAGTGGGGTGTTTCTTACTCTAAGAATACATACCTACAGTGATGAGTCCACATTAGTACAGTAGAGCTTGATACTTGAGTCATCATTCTAATCTTTCTGTAAACTTATTTTATTTTGTGTCTGCTAAAAGATTCTACTTAGACAAATTTGTATACTAGTTTCAATTGGACTGGCAACCAGTGAACGAACGCGAACGTGAATCATCAAGAACAGCAAAGAATAGTAACACCAGATCAGCTACTTCTGTGCCCTCATACTTCTATCAGGATTTATCTGATTTTGGTATGCATGTCTGACTTTATCTACATATTCTGATTACATAGTAAATATTATTTGTATTTCTTCTCCATTAATTCATAATTCTACTGTAATGCCGCATAATTCAGGAAGACCACATAACTGTGGAACAGAAGCTTGGTCTTGGCGAAAAATGGTTCCACCTATTGATCCAAGAACCCAATCACCACCACGAGTAGAAGGGACAAAGCCTTCCAATGTGAACAAGATGGTATTGTGATCATTCTTGACTGAATTTCAGTATTTCTTACATTTAATTTTCATGATTTTTTATATATTTATTATTCTCATGATAACTATATAATTTTATGCTATTTTTTAAAGCCTGACAGAAACCAAATAGAGAGTCGTTTAAATCAGATCAGAGAATATATTAAGGTCACTGCAACAATGATGGATTCTCTTAGTCTATCTTCAGATCCTGTGAGTATTACTTCTGCACAATATTAATGTAAATTTAATATTTCGTTAGAATATCTCGTGTTACTATGTTTGCTGTAATTATAATTGTTTTGCAGCGTGCACAAGCTCAGAACGAAAAACTAGGTAGAATGGTAGAGGATCTTCATGACAGTGAAAGTAAGCTGTCCAAATTATTAGAGCAATGTCATAATCATGGAGTTTCCGACGAGGTTGTTAGCATTATTTAACGACTGATCGAAATATTAGAACTAAAATACAATTGTACAATACTCAATGTCTTATACTTTTTACAGAACAGTGAAAATGGTAGGGAGGATATGGACGAACGTAGCGATACTAGCAGAGAAATGCAGTTACGAAGAAATGTGGAAGAGTATCAGAGCAAACTCGCTCAATTGCAAGAACATCAAACTAATTTGGTGGGAATGCAGATGCGCTTCAGAGAAAGATTGAACGAAGCGCGTCAAGCGCAACAGATGCTTTTGCAGCAAGAGAATCAGAATACATCTTTGCCGGGCCCTGCTAATGTGGAACAACTGGAGTCTGAAACAGAGGTATTGCGGGGAAAGTTGGCGCAACTTCAGACGAAGAAAAAACATATGGATCATCTCGTAGCGGAATTACAGGCCATAGAGGCATTCGAGAGAGGCAGCAGCGTTAGTGTTTCGTTTTTCTTTGTAACGATATAAATAACTATAGGTATTTGTTATTAAGATGAGTTCTCTTGATTCTTCAGAGTTCCGAGGGTTCACGAAACACGATTAGAGATAAAGCTGCAGAATTGGAGGCGATGAAAACACAGCTTGCGCATATAAAAGCTTTGATGGAAGACAGTACGAAAATTCGTGATTCTGTAGATTCTACTTCCGAGCTCGAGCAAGACGTTGATGTTAATAGTGAAGATGCCGCGGACTTGGAAATCACTGAGGATGAAAATGCGGCGAATATTTCGTTTGAACGTCAAAGCGACAGTGACGACATTGGCCACGGCAAGATCCGTAATTTCAGTGACAGACCTACAATTGAAGATGTAGAGGTAAGCATATCGATCATAATATTTTATGTAGATTGCAATACTTTCATCTTCCTCCTGTAGGCTATAATGTGGGAATTTAAGGAATCGTTTTTAAAGATACGCGATCTTCAAACTATGCGAGCTGACTTACAACGTTTAAAACAACCATCACTATCTACGGCTGCTCATTCTACGTCTTCGTCTTCTTTTCTATCTACAACTCCGCCTCCAGCGCTTAAGGAACAATCGATTTCAAAGATACGCGATCTTCAAGCTACGCGAGCTGAATTACAACGTTTAAAACAGCCATCACTACCTACGACTGCTCATTCTACGTCTTTGTCTTCTTTTCCATCTACAACTCCGCCTCCAACGCTTACTCCTTCCAGCATAAACGAAAAGAAGCAGAGTAATAACGTCAGTACAGATACACAACAAGCAAAAAGACGTCAACTGGAAGATCTTATAAAGAAGGTCTGTATTTTTTTATTTTCCATATTTTTTTATGTGTAATTTTATTCATTTTTTTTATCAAAAAGTAGGAACAAACACAACCCTCTAATGTGAATCGGGACATCCAGGGGCCGGATCTAAATAGTCAAAGAAGTTCTGGTTCTCAAACTAGTCATACGAGCACGCCTGCAAATGTTTGGCTACCTTCCGCTGTCATAGGTTTAAGCATTAACTTTATTTATTTGTATTAATTACATAAGATATCCTGTAAATCTATTAATTAGTTTTATCAATGAAATAAAATAAAAGTATGTATATATTACGTTTTAGGAGGTTCCAATGAGCAAAGTGTAGACGGCGTGTCTATGTCGGAAAATTTATTAGACGTCGGTCCACAAACTGCTGCTATCGAGAATGGATTTCCTGTAAATTGGTGGAGTTGTCCTTTACCACCTATAAATCCGGTTCAACATGGTGAAATATTAGCTTAAATTTAAATAATATTTCAGATATTAAGGAAGGATAATGTTGATGATATGCTTTTTTTGCTCTAGCCTCGGCAGAGTATTACCGGCAACTAATACTGGGTTCGCAAGCTCAACAGCTCCAAATGATGAATACGACTATACATCAGTGTTGTCATCTCTTATGGGCGCAGCAGCGTGAGTTACAATCCATGCGCACGGCTATCATACAGTTGCAGTTGCAGCTGAGACAAAATCAGCCTCCACAGCGTGCCAGTAATGCTGAAAGTCAGGAAGAATACTCCAATTTGAGCCGTAGCGTACACCATCTCGGTGATACGTTGGATGCAACTTTACCTCCCAGCTCATCCTTGCCGAATCTCGTGTCGCTACCGAATTCTTCAGCAGCGCTGTCGCATACTCCGGTAGTCACTACTAACTCACAACAGCAACAGCAACAACTAAACAATCAAGTACCTCCTGGTAATAGAGCGAACAACTACTGGGACAATTTTCGCAGGTAATAACATTATTCATGAATCGATAAATATATACATGTTTCATAATATTTGATTCGTTAAAAGAAAAACTAATTTCAATATTTACGTATATTTTAAAATATGTAAGTTGTAGAAAAATAATATCTCATTGCACATTCACTTTTGTTAAATCTTGATTTATTCGAATGTATATGGAATTTTTTTTTAATCTAATTCTTACTAAATCTGACTTTGAATAAAATTATTTTTTATAATAGAAAGGAGAAAATGAATATGGGATATTAACTGATTTTTTGTAACAATTACTGAACTTCGACGAAAATCATCTAATGAAATAATTTAATATCCTAAAATTTTCACGGATATTCCGTATTTGTTTATGGTATTTTTTTGTAGTAACCAGTATTTTTGGTGTTGTTTTTCATTTTTCTGTAAATCTAAATGTATTACATTATGTGTAGTAATAAAAATCATGATCTATCTTTCTCTCTTTCTATGTCTTATATTTTTGACTTATCACTACCCTTGTTTAAGATCGTATCTAAGCACGTATATAGCTCTATATAATTCACAATTCAGTTACATAAACCTGTGGTTAATACAAATGAAACTAAGTAAGGAACATTTGTTGGTAGGTAATATATGGGTATGTAAGCGGGTTTTCGAAGATTGAATGGGACACATCATCAAATCTAAAATTTTCAACTAATATTAATGCATGCAATGACAATAAGTGTTTCATAACATTGATATTTTTGTGACTTAGTTGCAATCTTTAAATGACGTTCCTTTCCACTATTTTAATTGAAAGTTTCGTAACAAAATTGTTTTATGTATTGCAATAATTAGTCTTGGCATGATTTGAATTTTTATATAAACTTGCTAACATGCATTTTCTTTCGCCTTAACTATATCTTTTTTTATTTCCAGCTATTCTCGACAAAATCTTCTCTCAGGAAATGTAAAAACAATAACTGATACTTCGACAGCTGTAACGAATTCGGCATCTTCAGCAAACACGATTGGTACAAGTGGAAATAGTGTCAACAGTTCATTGATGTATGTAACATAAATATAATTCAGTCTTTCTCAATTAACATATGCTCTTTGTAAATAAATGTACCAGTTTCTATTTGATTTTCAAGGAAAGACAAACGGAATCGAGAACAAGGAACTGATAATTTGCCTATACCGTTAAGTGCAGAAGCACAATATTCATTAAACTTACAATTACCGTCTAATCTGCAACAACAAGATAGAGAAAATACTACTATTCGCAGTAACATTATAGCAAATGAAGTATCTCAACAAGTCGATAATATTTGGGAAGAAGCTTACAGTTCTTTCAGATTACCGTCTACGACGAATGACGATAATCTCCTTCATAATTTAAGGTGTGGATCTTTTTTTAAATTTATTGAATAAGAAGTTATGCTTAATATTAATTAAAAATATAAATAACTTTTTAAATAATATATTATTTTATAATATATTATAATTATATAATAATTATATATTATAATTATATATTATAATTATTTAATAATATATTATTATACATTTAAAGCTCAGAGATGAAAGAAGCACTTAGTTCACTCATTGCGGTGAATAAAAGACGGCCCGATTATTTAATAATTATTTTGAGGGAAATTAAGGCCATTAGCGAAGATCACAGATTGCGACCTCAGTTATTACGATCATTACGTGCTCTGCAAGACACGCAAACACTAATGAGTAACCCATTGGTTAGTGTGCAGCCCACAGATACTATTCTTAAGGCATATTTATCTATGAATTACTTTATAATATTGAATTCTGAAACTATTAAAACTACAATTTTACACAGAACGAAGTGACTGACTTAACTCCAAGCGAAAGTTGCCAATCTAGCGACGAAGATTCGGATGTTGGTGCAATATTAGGTTTCGGCTTGGAGAACCAATCGTCTGCGACTGAGTTGGTTGCAACATCTCATGTCATAGACACTGCCTCTTCGCCGGCATCACAAGTGCCATTGATAGATCACTTGGATATATCGGTAAACAATTATATATAAAAAATATATATATAATTAAAATATAAATTATATATATATATATATATAATTAAAATATATATAAAACTATACAAAAAAAATAAAACATTTCAAATACAAATAGACTACATTATACGAATGAAAAAAAGTGGATGTCATCACGAAAATTACAAAATTATTGTGTATTATCTGCATACTTGAAACTTTACTGATCCGCTATTTTTAGTGATTTAAATGAAGAATTGTCTATCTAAATTATGATATTGCTTAACGTTGTTAGGGAACATTTTCACTCGACTGTGCCAGTGCTCTCCCTTCCACTTCTAACGGTAAATCTGGTTACAACGAAGATTTAGCAGAAGCCGATCAATCAAGACCCGAATCTTCGGGAAATCAAAAAGTATTATTCTCTTTTTTCAATTTGTTATGTCCACATGGATAAAGTACAGATCGATATTAAAGACATTATATATGTTTCTCCAGCCTTCTACTATCGACACGGATAATGAAGAAGGCCAAGAAGAAGCAGCGTCTTGTCCTATTGGCGCAGAAGCAATTACGCCTGATCTCGAAAGTCTTGCTGCTAAAACTGAAGACGAAAGAGCAGACGGCACCGAACTCGATAAATTTTATTACTAGATTATATCCTAAGCCGTGATGTTATTTATATAAATGACTTGCAGCTATTTTAAGCATAATGGGAAAGAGATGTGGATATATCAGGTCTTGATCTCTGACAAGAGATATCGACTTACCATTGTTTCCGATTTTAAAAGTATCGACTAATAATAATAAATAAATAATCGAAGTCTGATACAATGAACTATGTTAAAAAATTAAAAATTTACAATTAATACGTATATTATTTCTTGTAACATATAAAAACAATTATTCGAGAGAATTTATAATAAACATTCAGCTGAAGATTTATGTTACAAGTTTGTCTAGAAACCGAAATAAGTTTGGTAATAATAATTTACAGCTATTATATATTGTAACTTATTACAATTTATAAAACTTACTGTATATATATATTTCGACATATATATATATATATATATATATATATATATATATATATATAATAGATATATATATATACACATACATATATACATATAACATTATATAACATTCATTACTTCTGTATACTCACATAAATGTGAACTGTTTTACGAAAGCATTATATTTTCTTGTTATTTTTCATTTTCTTTTCTATTTATTTCTTATAGTAAATACATTAATGTAATAGGATAAGAATAGTTATGTTGCCAGATTTAGAAAAGTAAATATTTATTGTGTTCATATATAAAACTATAATACAAATTACATTTGTTATATTGTAGTGTATTATAGTTTACAAAACATTCTGTCTGTATTTCAAAACTTACAAAATATATGTCAAGATTTATTATAAATCTCCATATGTAAATTTGTGAAATCTTTTACAAAAGTAATATGTATTTTCTTTTTATTCTCTCACTTTCACAAACTATCTATTTATATACTGTTAATGTGTACTACACAATAAAATTTTCTAGTACAAGTTCAAATATAATAAAATATATCAAATTGTCAGATATATTACTCAGAATTTTCAAATATTTCACTCAAAATTCTGTCTCCATATGGTTATTGTCCAACAATTGAATGCGCTGATGATGGTATACAGTGCATCCATGTGTCTCAAATAACATTCTTTCATACTCCATATCGCTGTTATTTAACTTAAACTTGTTACTGGACGAAATATATTTATAACTTGGGTTACTTATTGAACTAGATTTATCAACTGGCAAGAAATAGGATTGGTAACTATGGCCAGTGATACCTAAAGATATCGACGATGATGGATCTTGCATCTGGTCCATTTCATAAGTCTTCGTATTTTCCGTTTCGTAGTGAATGTGGCCATTACCTGTTTTGTAAAAGGAAGTAAACCTTATTATCAACTGATTTTGTTAATTATTCCCTAATCATCAACTTTGTCAGCAGACACAGTAGCTTAACAGTAAAAAGTATCTAACTTACTATAAAGCATCATTAATTTCTGAAAAAACTATTAGCATCCATACTTCCCGTTACATACCATTTATCTGTAATATGAAGGTCGCAGGATGCCTCAAGCTTCAAAATAAATTTAATGTCAGGATCAGATGCGAGTCTCTGTGGTCACAGTTGTTAATATACAAACCCATAGCAAAAAAATCGATTGTTTATGTGCCTGAGTATCGATATTGGGTTGTAAAAATTTGTACATGTTTTGTTGCTATTACTAATTATATTATAGTATATATATTATTATAATATAATATTAATAATTAATAAAACAATGAGTTTCCTCACTTGTACAAAAGTAGTATTTATTGTTTATAGAAAAACGGAAGTTTGCTTATTATGCATCCTGCATGCATACGAAAGCGAGATAATGATAAAAAATAAGCAGGTATCAGTAATTATCAAGAGAAATGAATCCTAAAAATAAAATTTTTATTGTCGCGATTATTTTTAAGAGAGTATATGCAAGTAGAGGTGATAAATTTTGACAATTTTATCTACATTTTCTGAAAGTATAAAGATTTTTTATAATAAATTTTCGTAGTAAATTTTTATATTAACTTAATGAAAATTTATAAATTTATAGTAATTTAAACGTGAAACAAACTCTGATGAGCAATTACAGACGGTATAAACGCCGATTATTGCCATCGCATCTTTTATTAATGCATAAATATTCTGATAAATATTTGAAAGTATATAATTTAAATAAAAGAAAGTTTGATTATTTTTTCGATAAATATTCTGGAAAAAATCTGGAAAAACTAATTCTTAAGACTTCTGGCTATTCGCCGCGAAACTATTGGTGTCAGAACGCGAAAAAATGCATATCTAAAATTTCTACGATATATATATATCGAAATTAAAAATTATATTTAAAAAATAACGCCCACACAATTGATTGAGTGCACCTCTAAAATATGTCGAACACTTTTCTTCTGCTCTAACAATAAAAAAATGATCATAAAAAATTAACATACATTTTCTTTTTAACCTATATTTTGTCATTATTTTGTTGTTAATTTTACAATTATTTGTTGATGTTATTTATTGATTGTTAGGGAAGAAAAGAGTATTCAGAATATTTTAGAGATATGTTTAATTGACTTTGAAAGTGTCATTTTTAGGATATAACTTTTTACATACTTTGTAGAAATTTCGGGCATGTGTTTTTTGAGTTCTGATGTTATAAATTAAAATAGCCGCAGCAGATAGCCAGAAACCTAAAAAGATTGTTGTATCAGTTCATTTTGTTTTCTCATATATATCTCTAATTATTCCCTGCGTGAACATAAAGAATGTTGTAGCGGCCTCTGTGAAATTTCACGATATTCACGATACATGTGCAAAATATGAATTGACAAGCGGGAAAAGATATTGTCCCGGCTTCGTTTTGGTTCGGGGTAAATCGTTTGCTCTCGATCGCGAGGGGAAAGTGGCGAACGATTGTGTGTTAACATTTTTCTAATTTTAATTTATGCAATTTTTTCCTACCTCGCCGAAACCTTTTCGGTTCTACATTGCATGGCTCATGTTCCCAGGGCCGCTTGCAATTTCTACGAAGCAGTTGCGGGATGTCGATATCCATCGGTTCATGCTGCACTTGGTGTGGACAATATTGCTGGCCGCCCAAAATACCCATTGCAAACGATAATCTTTCTGCAATTATCGAGCACAGTCGAAAACGTCTGACAAATTTTTTTGGGAATTTTTTTTTTTGAAGATGCTTGAATTCTTCTACGTTTATTTACTTCCGTAGGTACCGGCTTTGAGCTTGATAATTGTCTATATGATAAACATAAGATGTCAATTGTCCGGCATTGAACTAATCGTGTTGCAGATTTTCAGCCACTGGTTGCGGTGTGTTGTGTGCCACCGTTGTAGTGCGTGCCGCTCGGTACGCTAAACAGAAAGACGAACTACTCGTCGTATGTACGTGAATATAATATTCACTGGATCGCGGTTTGTTATATACCGTCGATCATATATCACTATACCAAAGCACAATTCGTCGTTATGTGACCACTGTACATATACAAGCAAATGGAACAGCAAAGCGCGATATTGACACTTCCACGGAAGCACACAAATGCATACGAATGTGCAATAACCATGGGTAGCGTCACAGCAAAGAGAAGAATGAGAGCGGCCATGTCTGCATTTAGGCCTGTTCTACAATACGTCGTATGTCGCTGTCGTATGTCGGAGTGCAGCCAATCAGAGGATTTGTTTTTCGAGACGAGTTCTCCTGATTGGACTATTAATTGCGTTCCGACATCCGATTCCGACATACGACGTATTATAGAACGGGCCTTAGGCCTGGTCTACAATACATGTCGTAAATCGCAAGCCGTAAAAATTGTCCAATCACAGTCGATTATTATAAGAAATATCGGTTATGATTGGCGAATTCTTACGGTTTACGACTTACGACATGTATTGTAGAGCAGGTCTTAGGGCTATCGCACACAATTGACATAACTGCATATGCATAGCATAAAACCGTATGTACCAATGAGCATCGAGTATTAAGTCGCCATATTGGTGTTCGATGCTTAATATTCGATGCTCATTGGTCCATACGATCTTATGCTATACATATGCAGTTATGTTAATTTGTGTGCGATAGCCCTTAGAGCGTGATGGAAAAGTTGGCTGATTTGCAGCGCCTCTACGTCCATTTTTTATGGACATTGAACTACTAAACCAATGTCCACGATGACTTGGCTCTGTTCTGTGTTCTGTCGATAATTTTTGGTTCTGCTCCGTGTTATGTCTACGATTACTTATGGCTCCTGCACACAGGACGCGGTAATGCTTGCCGCGTGGCGGAAGTTTGCGCGACAGCCAATCAATATGTTGTTTTTTCATAAGAGCTAGAAGATTATTACGGAAAGCAACATATTGATTAGCTGTCGCGCGACTTCCGCTGCGCGGCAAGCATTATCGCGTCCTGTGTGCAGGAGCCATTAGTTCTGTTTCGTACTATATGCACAATTATCTAATTCTACTTCAAGCTATACGTACGAATAATAAATAATATTAATGTTTTCAAGGACTCTATTTTGTAATATTTAGAAATATGATAATTAAAAGTGTAAGGTAATGAATATATATATATATTTTTTTTTCTGTTTTTTATTCCTACCTATATAACTCAAATGTTCAATAGTATCCTAAGAACGTTCTAAGAATATTCGAATATTATTAGGATATATAATGAACATTTGTGCTATATGGATATGTACTGCTGAATATATTAAAATCAAAGGAAAATCTTACCTGTTAATATCTAAGTAGCACATACACGTATCAGAAACGTTTCTTAAAAGTATCTATAATTTCAGAATCGTAAAATACCAATAAGAAAAATTTTAATAAGAACCTCTCTGAAACTCCTTACAGAAATATCATACTGAAAATCATTGATTAATTACTTATTTTCAGTATTAAAAGTACAGTATTTAGTAATATTCTGTGATTTAAGTACGGCTCTTAGTGCTCAAGTATTTCAGTATTTAGTATTACAAATATCACCTTATAAGTGATTTCAATACTTAAATATTGACATACAATACTTCGTTCAATGATAA